TTGTTGGACTGCAAGTGCCAGACTTAGAACTCGAGCCTGTCAAATAAGAAATGATGACTGATCGTGTTTTTTCACAAGTAGCCAAGGCTGCACAAACATTCAATACTCAAGTTCCAAGTTTTTTTCTCACTTAATTTGTGAATGACACTAATCAAAGCAGTTGCCAAGCCTTTTAAATTAGAACGAGCTTATAAATTACAGCTTTATTTGAAAGCACAAGTTCAACGAATTGAAAGTTATTTTTGTAGTCACCTCCTGTTGCAATAACCCATATAAAAATTAATTATTACGAACCTGGTTTTTCTAGACCAGTGTATTTGTTCAACACAAACTGTTCAAGTAATTTATCAACAGTCATATCCAAAAATTGACGTTTGAAATCGGAATGGACCTATAAAAAAGTGATATCATAAATTTTAAATTGTTTACACACACTATATATCTTTGCACAAACTTACCTGGCCAACCATGTCGTGATTATTCTGTAGCAATTCTAAATAAGTTGATAGGAATTCTCTCATTTGACGTAAATGTCCTTCCTCAATTTCTTGGAATCGCTTTAATATAAAATATAAATTAATTATGTACATAAATATAAATAATAAATAAAATCAAAATATCATTAATATATGAAATTGACATACTTTACACGCTTGCGTCATACGTCTCTCGAATTCAGCTTTAATAGGACCATGCTTATCTAGCAAAGTCTTATAGTCTTCCTGCAGTTTCTTGATTTTTGTTTCTAGTTTTTCAATATCTTTTTGTGACGCGTTATCTTTACGCAATTTTTCAAGTTCTGCTACTTTTGCCATATATAAATCTCTAGCTTTTTGTAATGCTGCTGTAGAGGTTTGCATGGCTTGTACAGCTTCAAGCGTCGGAGACTCCTCTTCTTTAACATTCTTGTGCTTTTTATGCAGTTCATCTGCATACTTGGTAACATCTTTAATTAGTTCAGTTATCTTTTGTACCATCTGCAGATGCAATGCTGTTAATTTCTCTGCAGATGTACGCAATATAGTCCATATAGGCGCAAAGGTACTATTTAACGTTCCGGTACTTGCTTTATGAACTAACTTAGACATAAGCCTCGAGTTTTGTTCTTCAATGTTTGCTTTTTCACGAAAGAAGTCTAAAAGTTCTTTAGTAGCCAATGATCCGAATTTCATGTTGTGATAAAGAACGTCGAATCCATTGTTCTTATCACCCTATAAAAGTTGTATGCATTAGATAATTGTTTTATATAAAATATTTAAATTATATTTAAGGGTATATTGGTTTTGACATAGAACCACAAATTGTAAGATGAAAAAGTACAATTTGCACAGTGCTTTACTATCGTTCTTTAATGACTTGTTGAATTAGCCAATGGGGCCCTAAGTTGACCCTTAGAATCGGGTTAAATCAATTCCTAACCTATAGATATATTGAGTATTTTTTAGTTTTAATTATAATAAATGTTATTATTGTTTTATTAATCATCGTTAATAAAACATCGTTTTTGTAGAACTTTGCTTGAGATGCATTATTTATGAACGATGCAATTATGACGAGAATTGTGAAGAGTACTTGAAGCTTAATAAAAATACTTGATTATAATTCTCATACATTTTAGTTTGCTTCAAAAAATACAAATTAAATTATAGCTTTATAGAATAAGGAATATTTTAAAAATTAAAATTTAATAGGGACTTTGACTTAGAGAAATAGAAAAACAGATAGATTAAATTTATTCCTTTTAAGTTTTAGAAATTAAACAAAAATATTACTTAAGAGTATGTCAATCCGCTTACCATATTTTGATAAAAATTTTTTTTATTTTCGTACTAACCTATATAACTTTATAAAAGATAACACAATATAAAGTAAAGATAGATAGATATGTGAAATAGACTTACGATGCCCTTAATTCAGAAAATAAAAACAAAATTTTAAATTTTCTCTTAAAAATGAATATAAATTCCTTATAAATTTCCTAAGTAGTATTGCGATAGGACTGGCAGTTCTATACGGTTAAGAGAACTGCCAATTTACAAAATCATATTTCGTATAAAATATTAGAGAGAGAGGTGAGATTTCTGTAGTGTTTATTTAGCAGAGCTTTGGCGAGACCACTATTATTTATTTTCTAGTTAAAAAAAATCGTAAATATAATTTTATTTAATTTCTTACTAGTTCTGATTATGGAGGCTTCTAAATATAAAATTTTTAATTACATAGCAGAAATCAATTTATACGTGATTCAAGTCCCGATATCAGATTTTAAAATTTTTGTACCCTTATATTCCGTTCTAACTTTTTTTAAAATGATTATTGATTGCTGAAAATGTGAAAAATCTGGGCATACTACTAGCATCAAATAATTATGCTAGTAGCATAATTTCCTAATAATAACAATTCAAAATAAGATGGAAAGCATACAGATACAATCCATATACCTATACTAATTTATATAAGTATAATTGTAATTTTCTTAACCACTCACTATCAACCCTATTATTGATAACGCTGTGAAAGAGAATAAATATCCTGTTCTATTACTTTTATTGTAGTTGTGAGAAAGATAAGGAAACTGCTTCATACGGGCTTTATAATTGTCCGATGTATGTGCAAGGATGTACAATTGCTAATTGTCCTTTCTGAAAAAATATTAAGCTTTACTAAAGGCTCGTTTTTTTTTATACGGCAATACAATATACCAACGGACCTAAGTGGATATATAGAATTACTGTAATAACTTAAACTTAGTGGAAGGGAAGACTTTTGGCAGATACTTTATTAATAGATTTGTAATTTTTTAATTTAATCTAATTTGTTGGGTCTGCCATAACATTATAAGAAAGTAAAAACTGCAGTTTTAATGCTCCAGTCATAAGTTATCATTATGTGCATAACATGAAAGTTTGGTATAATTTTTTTATTGATTTATACACAGTCAAACTTCCATAACTCGAACTTCTATAAATCGAATTTTCTATAACTCGAATCAAAAACAGTGCACCAAGGTTTTAGAGAGCAAATTAAATGCAATTCTGCTTCCATAACTCGAACTTCTATAACTCGAATTTCTCTATAACTCGAACAAAAATTTTGTTCCGTGCCGATAGGAATATGCGAAAGTGCATTCTATAAGTCGAGTTTTTGTTTTAAGTATAAATGCATTTTGCTGTTAGGGTAGGTCCCTTTTTCCGAACCGAATGTTTAATTTTTTGTCAGTCGTTGGCAACGTGGTTTAAACTAAATAAAATAAATTTCAATGCTACTCTTAACGATTATATTGAGCTTTACAATAAAATTTGTATATCAAGCTTTCCTACAGATGACGATATTATTGAGCACTATAGCTCTAAATTACTGGATCCAATTCTAAGCGCAACGGAAAATGATGATGAGGATTCGTTGGGTGTAATTGTTCATCAGCCTTCCAAGAATGAAGTAGAAGACTTATTTAATATTCTGAATTTATATTTGCAAACTGACGATAGTGCAACTGACGATAACTATATATAAGAGTACGAAGAAAGTAGAATCTAAAAAATCCCAAACCCTAATTTCTAAATATTTTACTTTACTATAACTTCTGTATTTTATTTGATTGAAAATAAATAAATATCTTAAAATATAATTCTAGTTTCTTTCAAAAATAAAAAAATATAAAAAAATATAAAAAAATATAAAAAAATATAAAAAAATTCTCTAACTCGAAGTCTCCATAAGTCGAACCTTTTCTTTGCAAAATTGGACTTCGAGTTATGGAAGTTTGACTGTATATATACACGGTTCCATATTTTACATTATGTTTTCTTCTTTCATCTATTTCATTTTTTTCATGCCCTTCAATTATCTAGAGTTTTTTTAAAATATTCATAGATGTACTTACCCAAAAATAATCAATAAATTCGACCGTCATTGTGTTGTTTTAAAATTAAACCGTATGTGTATAAAAAAATAATTTGAAAACAAACTATAATGTATCCTTAATAAGTATTTTTTAATAATTGACAATGTTATAGTCGTTTTTAATTAATTTATAATTAATTTTTTTATATTTAATTTATTTTTCAGTTAACTTTTTGAGCACCACTGGGACGTTCATCTTCGTTTAACATCAGTTTAATAGACCATTGAAAAAGTGATATCATCGGGACGAATTTAATCTGAAAAGAAATTATTTAGTAATATCAAATACATTAATAATATAAAAGAAAAATAAATAAGACAACATAATAATAAAAATAACAAAAGTGATTTCATATTATTTCAGGATTATAACATGATTTCAATTAGCATTTTCCTGTAACAAGACATTTATCGACAATCCATAGCTATCTTTATATATTTATTTCCAAATATCTATTTATGGAATTCATAACTTAAATACAATATATAAAATTTTTGTTATGTATCATAAGGAACAGTGCTCACCATACACGACGAATTTTCACCGCTTGCAAGCACACGACGAACCAACTAGGTCTCCTTAAATGAGATAGAACTCCCCAGTTGCAATAACTTCAAAATTGTGGTATTTCTATCGCTAAACTCAATTCTTCATATTGACATGATTTATCCAGGGATTTTTTTTTTGTTAGGCTCATTTTTCCATGATAGCGTTTTACTGGTCACAAGAAACAACTTACTATATTACTTTTACTATGAAACTAATTGCTTTAATCTTACGACATAAAGCAATTCATATGACAAATACTGATCACTTTATAAACATGAAGATTTTCGACTCATTATAACTTATTTTTTCTTAACCTTTGTGTAGACACATACTCGACTAAGAAAAACTACTAGCCAGTATATAAGATTCCTGCAACAGTGATTACTATTGAATCTAAATACGTTTAATGAAATTGATTAAAATATATTTATAAAAATATAACACACTGATGCATAGCTGCAAGAAATTACTTTGTGGCTTTAAGGTGTGTATCGAAAATACTCCAAGTGTCACTCATCACATCCGTTAGACTCTTTCGGAGCTGGCGTCATTTTGAATTATAAACCCATTATATTATGGGTTTAGATTTTGACACCCATAATATGGTTTCAAAATATGGAAACACACAATATGGTTTTTTCAATAATTACAATGTTGTCTGCTCCCCACTGAGATGATACTGCACCTAAAATTTTATATCTTGATATCAATACCAAATTCCAGCGTTCACCTTCATTTTCTAATGTTAACATTCCTTTAACATAGTATACCGTTTACAGGTTTTCTGAAGCTGTTAAGACCCCCACCGCAGTTTACAATAAAAATTGACACTACAACTACTACTAAACATAAAAGATATTGAACTAATCAAATTAATAATTAGATATAAAAATTTCATCAGTTTAAAATACTCTCCCAGCAATTTTATCCTCTCTATTATCATTATCATCCATACCTATACAGTCTATATAGGACCTAGCTTGTTTTACGACATTTCTTCATTCTTTTCTATTTTTCGCTTTTATCTTCCAGCTGGTGACATTCATATCTCTCAGATATTGTCGGACACTGTCACTCCATCTCTTTCTCGATCTCCCTCTTCCTCTCGCAAACACATTCTCTGTGAATGGAGCAAAGTTCTTCAGGAACTGCCTCACATAACATATAGAACAAAACAAAACCATCATATTTCATACACAATAATAAAAAAAGCAAACTAACTAAATATATTTATCGATTTTACTTTCTCATGCTAAATACTATCGTTTAATAAAACTTCAAACAGTTTGTAAATAAAAAATATTTATTAAGTAATAATATGATTTTCTTAAAAATAATAATTATGAAGATTATGTATTTGTTAAATATGAATGTTTTGTTAAATTTATTAATTACTACTTTATTGAGATTTTACGAATTTGATTCTTTCTGTTTCTCCAACTCCGCAATTTCCGCTTCAGCCTTCTCTTTAATTGCACGTACAAGTATTGTGCAGCAATCTTTAATTGCATGATATATAATATTCTTAATCTGTAATTTATCTTCATGGTTAGTATGTGAGTGAGAGAGACGACGGAACTCGTGTGTTAAGTGATAGCAATGTGTTATATTTTCTGGAGAAACGAAATCTTCAGCTACTTTTATGCAATTGTGCAAATTTTGCACTTGATGCGGAGCACCTGCTGGTATAAAAACTGCATCACCTAAGCATTGAACAATTGGATAGCCTTCTACACCATATTCCTTAAGAAGACGCATTCTCAACTCGTCATCAAGATACCAATTCTGATCATGTATTGGGTCGTGATCTGGTTCCAAACGAAAACCTCTTTCAAGCGTAACACGATTCAATAAATCACGTATTTTATCCGCATCACGTGCGGGAAATATATGCCACAAAGCACCAGGCATAACGTCAGGAGATTGTAATCGTACCCTTGTTAAGAAATCAGCACCACTCAATGAAATGGCAATGGAAGTAGCTTTAAGTTGTGGTGCGCTATCTGTGTCTGCAGGTATACCAACATATACCATAATATTTACGGCATCCGATATATCGAGATGTAAATTTGTGGTACCCTTGTCAGGATGTAGTGCTGAACCATAGGCATTATACATTTTTGGACCCAAATCGGGGGGTACAAACATTTTGGGCAAACAACTAGCAATATTCAAATTACCAGTTCGTAATGTGTATTCCGGCATGGGTAAACCTTTCATTAAATCACCATATCGCGTAGGTAATATTTCAGCAAAATCATCACCAGGCGGCCAATCTTTTAACTTGAGCAACATTGGTTTACCATGAGAATCTAGTAGACGTTTATTGATAAACTGGAAACCTTCCCAAAAATGACGCATAGGTTGATTTGGTACTAAATTACCATTGAGACAATTTATTAGATCATTTGGTTTATCGCCAAAATCTCTACAAAAAGCTTCAGGTTTCCAAAGATTTAAATTTAAAGAATTCGCTACTTCAGATATCATTACCGGTTGTCCACATTTCCATACTTCTTGAAACAGTATACGGTTGTCTGGATGCATAGCGTTAGTTAATCTTAATAGTTTTCCATCGCATAG